ACGGAAGCCTTGGCAACCGATGGATGGAATACATGATAAGGCTCTTCAAAGTACGCAGCTGCGGGGAACTGCATGGTGCTGTGCTTGGGGTAGCATTTGGGACAGTGGCACCCCCTGCCCAGCTGGACTCCACTCCTGGCTACTTCTAACCCAGCTGCTCGCTAACGCACACCCTAGGGAGGGGCTGGTAACTGGTGGCTCAAGTACTAGGGTTCCCACTACACAGGAGGGCCAGATCGAGCCCCCAGCCCAGCTTGGCCTGACCCCAGCAGCTCCAGGCACCAGCAGCTGGGAGGGAACTTCCCTGAACGCAACCACTCCGTCACCCCGACCCCCACGTCTGCCTTTCCAACAAAATTTTAAATACATGTATGATTGCTTTACTATTTTTTGAATTTGTCAATTTCATACTGCCTCCTAAAAAAAAAGCCGTAATCCTTAATTCTCACATTTATACCTAAATGTAAACCAGATAGAAAATTCTAGCTCAAATGTGAAGTCTACCAGCACAAAGTACCAAGAATGCAGTTAATTCACAACCAATCAACTCAATTATTCAACCCAACAGAGGAGAAAATGGGCAGGAATCTAGCTCATCTCTCAAGCCCTTGATGGTTTATGGAAACGCCATTCCCCATTGGCTTTAACCTACTCGCCTAGTTAATATTAAAAGCTTCTTTGTGTTCCTCAGATGTACACAACAGGAAGCAGTAAGAGAGCCAAAGACTTGGGCTAAAGTCCTTGCTTTGCACACGCCCGGGATCCCACATGGGTACGGGTTCAAGTCCTGGCAGCCCCGCTTCCCATCCAGCTCCCTGCTTGTTGCCTGGGAGAGCAGTTGCGGACGGCTCAAAGCCTTGGGACCCTGCACCAGTGTGGGAGACCCAGAAGCGACCAAGGCTCCTGGCTTCGGATTTGCTTTTGCGGCTGCTTGGGGAGTAAATCAACAGACAGATCTTCCTCCGTTTCTCCTCTTCTGTATATATGCCTTTCCAATCAAAATTTTTTAAAAAATCAATCTTTTTTAAAAAAGTGTTTGGACAGTTCCCTAGTCTGGAATCACCAAGTGGGCATCTATGGCAGTAGTGGGCCAAAACGGAAAACCACGTTTCAACTTGCCTGCACAGAATCCCTACTGCACCAGTCACCACATGCCCACTCTGTACGACGTTCCCCTTAGCTTTGTCTTTTCTTTGCAGTACCGGTATTTAACACTTTCCTCCAAGTCAATATTGTTCAGACAGCCTTGCCCTAAGTTGCACCACAGGCAGTCACAGCTTTGCTAAAAAGCGCTAGCTGATTGTATTAATATACATGAGAATTCTTTAAACAAAAGGCCCATCTACATTCTTTCACAACCAGGGCTGACCAAGATCCGGAGCCAGTAGGGGCACCTGACGCCAGAGCGGCTGTGAGAGATGCAGAGCACCTGTGTCCCGAGCAGTGAGGCTCCCTCCAAGTGGAGACCACCAGCCAGCCTGCTTCAACATACAAGGTCAGGGTCAGCAAGCTGAGCATCTGCACTCAGTCGCTTGTAAAACCTCCCGCCTCCAGGTCCAGGGAGGGCCCCAGGGTTCCGCCCCTCTGAGCTTGCCACCCTGTTATCCCTTCTAATCAGAGGGATGGAAGCCACGAATCCCCTCAATCATCCTTTCACGGGGACACAGGCTCAGGCGCGCCCGTCTTCATGGACCACACTCACCTTCTTGGCGACGCTCGCCTGTTTCGGTTTGAGGGGCGCGTTGGTCTTCACCTCCTTTTCTGTAGCTCGGTTGACAGTCCCCAAGGCCTTTCTGGCAGCTTTAGGGAAAGCTGATGCAGCATCAAACTTTTTGCCCGCAAGCGGCACTGAGGCCGAGGTTCTGCCATCTAAGGCTTTCCCTGCTGGAGAAAAAGTCTCACCTAACAACATTCAGGCAGGGAACACCTGTGCAAATTTACGCCCCAGTAGATATAGAAAGGGCACCTTCTCTCCCCACTGCAGGCAACAGCATGACCAGTGGTGGGGATCAGCCCTCCCCACCACCTCAATTATACATCCCACACGGAGAGGGAGGCCGGGAGGCAGGGACTCCAGTCGTCCCCAGGTCCAGCCCAGCCCTCGCTGAGCGCCCACACCTGCGCCTCGGACCGCAGCACGGAGCACTTACCCAGCCCAGATCCCAGCTTCAGCGCATCCTTGGGAGCCACGCGGCTGCCAGGTTCTCCATTCTCCTTATCCACAAAGATCAGGGTAGCCATCCTGCTTGATTCTAGAAGCGAGACGTACACGTTAGGGGACCCGGGAAAGGGAGAAGCTGGGGACAGCACAGACACCCCACCCCCGCCACAGACACACACACACTTTCAACTCTGGAGACGTCCACACAAAACCCCCATGAGCCAACCAGCCAGTGGGAAAAGCGCATGCTTGCGGGAAAAGGCTTTTTATCCAGCTCTCACACTGGGGTCGCAGGTTCGCAGCTCCCGACCGGAGGGTGGGCGGGCGGACTAGGGCTGGCACCCACCTGAGCTCAATCACCCAGGGTCCAGAACGCAGCCAGAGGCAGCGGCCCCTCCGGACTCACAGCCAGCACCCCCACGCCGCCTGCTTCCCGACACGACCCGGCGCGTCCAAACACTCGGGACGCTGCAGTGGGAAACCTCGGAGCTCAACAGCCAAACTCCCCGCAGCCCGAGACGGCCGCACGCTCCCGGTTTAAACCACAACTCGGGACCCGATTGGCTCGCCCGCCCAGAAGGACGGCCGGAGGGGGCGGGGTTCCCAGGAGAGCCAATGGGGGAGGCTTCAGGTGCCAGAGCTCCGCCCCCAAGCGAAGTCTTCGGAAGCAGTGGAGGACCGTCCAGAGCCTTGGGACCTGGCTCCGGATCAGCTCAGCTCCAATCACTGCAGCAATTTGGAAAGTGAACCAAGATCTCTCTCTCTCTTTCTGTGTCTCTCCTCTCTCTGTAAAACCTGCGTTTCTAATAAAAATAAATATATCCTTTAAAAAAGAAAGATGCTATTTTAAAGGCCGCATACTGTATGATTATTTTTTTATGAAATATTCAGAGAGCATAGTGCAATGGGTTAATTGGTCATCTTCCCCTTGCAAGAGCTGGGGTCCTATATGAATGCCACTTTGTGTGCCGGCAGCTCCACTTCCCATCCAGCTCCCTGCTTGTGGCCTGGGAAAGCAGTCGAGGACGGCCCAAAGCCTTGAGACCTTATACTAGTATGGGAGACCCAAAGGAAACTGCTGGTTCCTGGCTTCAAAATGGCCATTTGCGAGTGAACCAGTAGATGGGGGATCTTTCTCTTTGTCTCTCCTCCTCTCTGTAAATCTGTTTTCCAATACAAATAAGTATTTAAAAATATTCAGACAAGCAAAGCTGGTGTCTCAAGAAATTTTTAAACTAAAAAAAAAATCTGAATGATCTACACTCTATACTTACTTGAGGCTGTTTTGAGACACTATTTCCTCATGTACTGTCCTACAGAATCAAATTAATATTTCTAGCGCTATACCCAAGGAACTGCACATTCTTAATATTTAAAAAAAAAAAAAAGAAACTTGAGCTGTTATTGAAGCAAAGCAATTGGCTGTTTTAACTTTCACATTTTAAAAAAGGAATATATGTGAGGTCCACAATGTAGCCTAGCAGCTGAAAGTCCTTGCCTTGCATGTGTCAGGATCCCATATGGGCACCGGTTCTAATCCCGGCTGCTCCTCTTCCCAGCCAGCTCTCTGTTTGTGGCCTGGGAAAGCAGTCGAGGACAGCCCAAAGCCTTGGAACCCTGCACCCACGTGGGAGACCTGGAAGAGGCTCCTGGCTTCTGGCTTTGGATCAGCTCATCTCCTGCCACTGCAGCCACTTGGGGAGTAAACCAGCAGATGGAAGATCGGTCTTTCCTTTTCTCTGTATATCTGACTTTCTAATATAAACAAATAAATAAATCTTAAAAAAAAAGAAAAGAAAAGGAATACACACACATTAAAAAAAAAAATCAAAGAAATTTCTATTACCAAAATGACTAAATGGCTGTGTCCCTCCTAGTACCGTGTTTCATGAACAGACCTCGAAGGAGAGTTGGGCTATCTTAGAGCCTGTTTCTTTCCCACGATAGAAATCACTTCAGGGCCAGGTGTCTCCTCTCTGCTCACAGTACCTGCCATGGCTTCTTACCACTGTATAGTACTTGAATCAATATTTTGGTAGATTTTTTTTCACTCGTTCAAGGAGAGAAAGACATTTTGTGTTCACATCCTCGGCACTGGATCACACACGCACTGGATACTAATTAACCCTAATTTTAACAACTTTGCTTTTTTTTTTTTTTTTACTTAATAGACCATGAACTTTCCCATTTATTTCATGGTACTCTGCTAAGGTTAATTAAGCTGTTGCTTATTCTGGGTCTGTTTCTTCTTTTTGTTTGTTTGTTTATTTAAGATTTATTTATTTTTATTAGAAAGGCAGATGTACAGAGAGGAACAAAGATCTTCCATCTGCTGGTTCATTCCCCATAGGGCCCCAACACCCAGAGCTGAGCCGATCTGAAGCCAAGAGCCAGGAGCTTCCTCCAGGTCTCCCACGCGTGTGCAGGGTCCCAAGGACTTGGACCATCCTCTAACTGCTCTCCCAGGCCACAACAGGGAGCTGGGTAAGAAGTGTAGCAGCTGCGACGCAAACCGGTGTGCATATGGGATGCTGAGCTTGCCAAGGGAAAATTAGCCAGTTGAGCCAACGCGCTGCACCCCTTCCCATACACTTCATTTTCCTCGCAGCACCCCCAGTTCAATTTTTTGGTGCAAAATGAAGCAAGCGTTTCCCACGACAAGCCCAAAAGGACCCAATAAAGTTGAATCTCCCGGCGAGGTCGCCAAGGAGAGAGGGGTAATACAGCCCGTCGCCTGACAGGTGGCGCTAGAGCGCCCAAGACAAGGAGTGTTTCGTGCGCATGTGTCAGCGTTCCGGAAGTACGTCAGAGCTTCCGGGAGAGGGCCGGGATCCCGGAAGTAAACATTCCGCCATTGGCTGCGTTGGTATCGGACGGTGTCGGAGGGAGCTGCGGTCGCAGCGGTCGCAGCGGGTAAGGCTTGGTTCTCCGAGTTTGCGAGACCCGGGGGACGTCGAAACGTGCACACGAAGATGTAGATGTCTCCTCCCGCTTGAGGCGCGAGCTAGGACGCGGGCTTGGTTCCTGGGCGGGGATCTAGCGAACTGGCGTGTCCGGCATTCACTTAGGAGTCAGGCTTGGATTTTTTTGACTCTTTAAGGAGCGTGGATCCTTTCCCGCGGGTCTTGGCCGTCTTCTCAAACTGGTTTCAGAAAGATTGGAACATGAGATGTTGCCTAGTAAGTTCAGCAAGTGTTAGCACGCGAAGGTCTCTAGTGTGCCGTGGTCAGCTTGGAGCTGACACTGACCAGAGACCATGGTCAGTGCATCTGTTACACTGACGCCTGTGCAGAGTTTGTGCACAGGTGAACACGGGGGAACCCTTGGGCCCGTGGCCTGGCAGCTTCCTTGCCAGGGCCTGTGTGACCGGGCGATGCTTGTGACAGCCGGGATGCGGGTGGGCAGGTGCCTGTCCACGGTGGACCATCCCCGTGTCGGCCAGGCCAGCTCAGTAAGATCTAGGTTAGCTTTGAAAGACTGAGATGATTATCTTACTGTGGGGTTGGGATTTGAAGTTGGATCTATTGGGTTACGTAAAAATCCTGTAATTTTACCTGTTTTTGTTTTTAAATATGGCTACTGAAAGACTGATGTGTGTCTCTTCGTTGGTGCTACAATGGTGGGTTTTGACCCTCGGCAGTGGAACATGATCTGGTTAGGTTTATGGTTGTGAACAGTTTACACTCTGTAGTGTGGAGAACGTAGATTCGGGGAAATTGAGTAGATTAGTAAGTAGGTGGTAATGTTGAAAATGAAGCATATGAATTTGAGTGATGTTTAAAAAATCATCACTTCTTAGTGGTGAAATAGACTTGAGGATAATCGCGAATGCTCGTATGAACACGTAGATGATGTTTTGTTGAGTCAGAGCAGTAAAAGATTAGATTTCAAAGGGACAGTCGTGACTTTAAGATGAGACATGCTGCGTTTAGATGCTTGTGGGACTAAGTGGAAAGGACAGGGAAGCCTGGGATGTAGGTATCTGAAACGCAAGTGAAAAATCAAGAGAGAAACAAACTGCAGACCTAAACCAGCGGTGGACTGTGGCTGTTAGAGGGTTGGAAGTGGATGAGCTTGTCCACTGCTGGGGAGCCATGAGACGGTCACCAGTCGGAAGGGCAGAAGCAGACAGGAGCTCCGAGAGGTGCCGGCAAGCCAGGAGAACGTGGTCACATCAGCCATGGGGTCAGACAGTCTCAAAAAGGAAAGGAAGAGAACCAGAAAACGTTTGCTTGGTGTATATAGTGTGGTGACGTATATGTCAGCAATCACGTGTGACGTTGAAAACGTAGCGGGAGCTCCTCATTTGAAGTGGCCGACAGTGGACGCTAAGGTCCACGGACTGAGCAGCGAGGCGGAGGGGAGGAGATAGAAGCGATGATTGTAAGTACCTCAGGCTCATGCAAGTTAACTTTATTTTTTTGCAAACAAATTTTGGAATACGTGCTCATAAATGATCTCTTAAAGGTTTGAAAAAAATCGTACTATTGGGCCCGGCGCGGTGGCGCAGTGGTTAAGGTCCTCACCTTGCACGCCCGGGATCTTACATGGGCGCCGGTTCTAATCCCTGCAGCCCCGCTTCCCTTTCAGCTCCCTGCCTGTGGCCTGGGAGAGCAGTCGAGGACGGCCCAAGGCTTTGGGACCCTGTACCTGTGTGGGAGATCCGGAAGAGGCTCCTGGCTTCGGATCGGCATAGCATCGGCCGTTGCGCTCACTTGGGGAGTGAATCATCGGACGGAAGATCTTCCTCTCTGTCTCTCCTCTCTGTATATCCGCCTTTCCAATGAAAAAATAATAAAAAATAAATCTTTAAAAAAAATAAATAAATCTTAAAAAAATCATACTATTAAAAAACTTTTGCATAGATTTCAAATATTTCTTGTGCCAAAATAAGATTATCTTTTAATTCCATTTTCCACAAACATTTGAAGTACTCAACCTTAATGCAGAGAATTTTTTTTTAAAAGATTCATTCATTTTTATTGGAAAGTCAGATTTACAGAAACGAGAGACAGAAGAAAGATCTTCCATCCATTGATTAACTCCCCAAGTGGCCGCAACGGTCAGAGCTGAGCTGATCTTAAGCCAGGAACCAGGAGATTCTTCCGGGTTTCCCACGCGAGTGCAGGGTCCCAAGGCTTTGGGCCGTCCTCGACTGCTTTCCCGGCACACAAGCAGGGAACTGGATGGGAATTGGGCCCTCCAGGATTAGAACTGGCGACCCTATGGAATCCCAGTGCATGCAAGGCGAATACCTTGGCCACTAGGCTACCGTGCTGGGCCCATGCAGAGAATTCTTAAAGCATTCAGTGTTAAAGAAAAACAGAGAGCACTCATTAGCTTTACTCCCTTTGCTGTACTAGGTAAGTTTGAGACCTGTACAAAGAAAGAGGAAATCAGGAATATAGATCAGAGAAAAAGTCCTGTGAACGTTCAAGTACTTGTGTGTGTCTGTTTCTCTCCACTTGTAAAGGAAAACTGAAGGAGAGATGATGCTGGTAGCATCTAGAACTCTTGGGGTCGGGTAGGAGACCCTTCCAAGTCGGCGCTGTGAGCGCATGTGCGAGCCGAGGGGAGCCTGCGCCTGTGTTGCCAGGTTGTGCGTGCCCATCTCCTGGGCTGGGCCCACGAGGGCCTGGCGTTGCAGCTGGCCTTTTCTCCCTTTCCAGAGGAGGCCACAGCACCATGGCCGCCGTGGATGCAGTCAACGCTGCGCCCCTGTCGGGGTCCAAAGAGATGAGTTTGGAGGAGCCGAAGAAGATGACCAGAGAGGACTGGAGAAAGAAGAAGGAGCTAGAAGAACAGCGGAAGCTTGGTAATGCTCCTGCAGAAGTTGATGAAGAAGGGAAGTAAGTGGTTTCTTTGCATGCTGTTTCCATCCAGAATACAGATTCACATCCACTTACTTTATCAATTGCTCATCCTTCCCCTTGACAGGAAGCTATCTTCATGATTTACATAATTTTTTGCTTTGTGTGGAGCTTATTTGCATGAGGTTTAATAATAAAATGATGTTTAAAATCTTTTTTTTAAAGGTTTGTTTATAGTGGAAAAAGCTGGCACCAGTGCTGTGGCACCTGTAGTGCCAGCATCCTATATGAGCACCGACTCAATTCCTGGCTGCTCCACTTCCACAGCAGCTGCTTACTAATGTGCCTGGGAGAGCAGCAGAAGGTGGCCTGAGTCCTTGAACCCCTGCACCCGGTTGGGAGACCCAGAAGAAGCTCCTGGCTCCTGGCTGCAGTGGCTTAGCTTTAACAGTGCAGCCAGCTGGGATGGGGAATGGCTGATGGAAGACTTCTCCGTCTCTCCTCCTCTCTCTGTAAATGTGCCTTTGAACTAAAAAGAGATGGATCTTAAAGAAAAGAGCTACAGAGAGGCCTTCCATCTGCTGGTTGACTCCCCACATGGCCACCACAGCCAGGCCTGGGCCTGGCCAAACCAGGAGCCAGAAGCCTCGGAGCCCCTACACAGGTGGCGGGCCCAAGCATTTGAGCCGTGCTTCCTGCTTTCTCCCATAGCAGGGAGCTTATCAGAAGTGGAGCAGCTGACACTGGAACTGACCCCCATACGCTGTTACAGGTGGCGGCTTCACCTGCAACACCACATCGCCAGCCGCTGCTGAGCCTCTTATACTGAATAGCTATAGTTGTTTGTTTTTTTCCCTACTCTTCCCACTCCCTCTCAGGCCCTGCGAAAGTGACTACTTTTCAGTCTTTCTGTTTTGAATTTTTGTGGTCATTAATTCCAAACAAAAACTTACATGATGATGTTAATCATTTGATAATGGATATTAACTGTTAACTTCTTGCTCACACCCCTATCTTCTCTCCTTTCTCTTCAGTTATATTACTGTTCTTAGCTTCTTGGTTGAAATTTTTTTCAGTGTGATTAGAAAGAACTTTTGGATTTTATTTGCCACATTATAAAGATCATAATAATATTCTGTTCCCTCTCCCAGTACAGTATTTCTATTCTTAGCTCTTATAATTCTTATCAATTATTTTTAAACTTTATTCTTTAAAAAAAAAACTCCTTAAAATTTTATTACAGAGACATCAACCCTCACATTCCCCAGTACATCTCCTCGGTGCCGTGGTATATAGACCCGTCTAAAAGACCGACTTTAAAGCACCAGAGGCCGCAGCCGGAGAAGCAGAAGCAGTACAGCTCATCCGGAGAGTGGTACAAGAGGGGCGTCAAGGAGGTACGCAGGCAGGCTCGCTGCTGCTGCATATGGCCTCTTATTTTCAGATCCTAGTCTAAGAACGTTTAGTGTCTAGTATGTGTGTCTGTATCTAGTGTAAAGTAGAAGCTAATTATATAACCCTTGGTATTGAAAGTCACAGTGCATACTACTAATATAAATTTGATATTGTATTGAAATTCACAGTATACGCTGCTTTAGCTTTTTTAATATAAATTTTATATTGCTGAAGCCCTTCAGCATTCTCATTTCCAGTGTATAGTCTCTGACTTGCTTTTCTCTGAAGAAGTAAATGATTTCACTAGACATGATAATAATGCCAGCCAAAGTTACTTCTCAGTTATTCAGACAGCCAGAATGATTTCTTTGTTTTTCTCTGTGTTCGTTTGTAGAATTCCATCACTACCAAGTACCGCGAAGGGGCCTGTGAGAATTGTGGGGCCATGACGCACAAGAAGAAGGACTGCTTCGAGGTGAGCTCGCCCTGAGCATTTTGAGAGCTGGGCAAACACTCTTTTTTTTCTTGTCTGATAGCTTACTTTCATTTTTCTAAAACTACCTATACTGAGGTACAAGGTAAGTAAAAAGTAATTTGAACAAACTTAGTTCAGCATCAAACTTAGTTCTGCCAGAAGATGAACCGATGATTGGACTGTGCCTTCCGGTGGGGTTTTTATGGAGGATAAAAACCGCAGGTAACTTGCCTCTGGGCTACAGTTACGCGGGAAACATGGCCATGTGCTGTTTTCCAGAGACCCAGGCGAGTGGGAGCCAAGTTCACAGGCACTAACATAGCCCCGGATGAACATATCCAGCCCCAGCTGATGTTCGACTACGACGGCAAGCGGGACCGCTGGAACGGCTACAACCCGGAAGAGCACATGAAGATTGTGGAGGAGTACGCCAAAGTGGACCTGGTGAGCCTCAGCCCGGCGTCTCCACTCTCTGCGAAGAATACGATTTACGGGATCTCTGATTTAGCAATTTGTAATGATCAGGTCTTCAACTCTTGGCTCCCAGGCTGTAGCGTATCTGTGGCATATTTTACTGTAATCTTGCTTAGTATTTGGGGTGGTGGAAGGTGAAGAAATAACCTTTTTCAGGAGTGAATCTTATTTTCTTTCCTGTTGTGGTTTCACTTCCCCTCCTCTTTCAAAACCTCTGTCACGTAGCCTTCATTTCATGATCGTGAGATGTCACATAAACATCTGGTTGTACTCTTTTCTTGATGTTGAACTGTATTGGGCACATCGCAACAGCCTAGTGACTTAGCTCTGGCCGTTGCGGCTGCTTGGGGAGTGAATCATCAGAGGGAAGATCTTTCTTTCTCTCCTAATCTCTGTAAATCTGACTTTGCAATAAAAATAAATAAATCTTTTTAAAAATCATTTTAAATATAAAAGTATTACGTAGTTGTGTGAATTTTGTAAGTAAAATTTAATGTTTCTTGTTTCTGTTTAGGCAAAACGAACATTGAAAGCCCAAAAACTCCAAGAAGAGTTAGCTTCGGGGAAGTTAGTGGAGCAGGCTGTAAGTAATGGTGAAATGTGTTCAGACCCTTTGAGCAAAGAAATGAAAATTGAAACAAGAATTCATTTGTTGGATGAGCTTTGGGGCCAAAATACTAATGAATGAGTAAAACTGACTTTTTTTTATACTGTTCATGGAAATGCAAATTTATATCACCATTTTTGAAAAAATATGGACATAAAATGTTGATATCTTGAATCAACATTTTTTTTGTCCTCTTGTTAAATCACAATGCTGCAAAGGCTATTTTTTGTGTAAGGATTCCTATTTTAGGGCCCAACGCTGTAGCCTAGCAGGTAAAGTTCTCACCTTGCACAGGCCAGCATCTAATATGCGCACCAGTTCTACTCCCGGCAGCCCCGCTTCCCATCCAGCTCCTTGTTTGTGGCCTGGGAAAGCAGTTGAGGACGGCCCAAAGCCTCGGGACCTTGCACTGTGTGGGAGATCGGAAGAAACTCCTGGCTCCTGGCTTCAGATTGGCACAGCTCTGGCCTATGTGGTCACTTGGGGAGTGAACCATCGGATAGAGGATCTTCCTCTCTGTCTTTCCTCCTCTCTATGTATATCTGACTTTAGAATTTAAAAAAAAAAAATTGTTGTTTTAGGAATCTGACAACACTTTGTTTTTTAGATTTGATAGAATGCTGTTGAAGCCGGATGAGCTAGATCTGATAAATTAGCATTAGGGAAATGAAGATGTGCTGGGGACCTTGATCATATTAATCTACATACGCAGTTACAATCCTTTATCAATGGTAACTCCCCAGAACTTTCCTGGCTTTGTAGGTAGCTTAAAAAGTTAGTCCCGGCGATGCATTACCTTCCGAAGGTCTGCGCTCCTTCCCAGCGAGGAAGGCGACCATTCCGTTCATGCAGCTAGCAGTCAGCTGGATCCAGTGTGCTCACAGTGTTCAACAGCCAGTGGCGTGAGTAGAATGTGACAGTAGGTTCTTTTCTGTCTTTCGCGATGCAGAATTCTCCGAAACACCAGTGGGGAGAAGAGGAAGCGAATTCTCAGACGGTAAGGAACGTGCTCTCTGTCCCGGTCCGCGCTCCTTTTGCAGTGTCACTGGTTCACATTACTGATCAATAATTGTAGTTTTTAAAGAAAAGCATGAGCAAGAACTAGGTGCCACTCTTCTTACTTCCAAGTTTTCTTGTCTGTCTTTCAGGAAAAAGATCATAATAGCGAAGATGAAGATGAAGATAAATACGCGGATGATATTGACATGCCTGGGCAGAATTTCGACTCCAAAAGGCGCATTACGGTTCGGAACCTGAGGATTCGAGAAGATATAGCCAAAGTAAGTGCTGCCGACTCAACGTTGGAACATTCGTCTTGCCTGAATTTTATCTGCTTGTATAACCAGTCTTTTCAAGGTGGGGTATTTTCTGTGTTTCTCTTCACCTTTACGCTAGAACTGTACACACACATTTAGTTGGTTACAATAAACTTCCACTTGCTGAAATTTTTTTTTTTGCTATAAATATTAATTCAGTCTTTAATATTTTTTTCTTGTAGTATTTGAGAAATTTAGATCCAAATTCTGCCTACTATGATCCGAAAACCAGAGCGATGAGAGAAAATCCGTACGCCAATGCAGGAAAGAATCCGGATGAGTATGTCTCAAGTTGAACTTACAAATTTCAAGATAAGACAAAATTAATTTTATTCTGATTCAACCATAGATATGTTGTTTGTTTTCATTCAAATTCAGTTTTATGAATGAATTTTCCTTGAATCAGTCTCTGGAGCAGTTCCTTATTTCCTGTTTTGTTTTGCAGAGTGAGTTACGCAGGAGATAACTTCGTTCGATACACGGGAGATACCATTTCCATGGCCCAGACCCAGTGTGAGTGTCTGCTGTGTGTCGGGGGGAGGTGCGTCTGGAGTTGGGCTCGCAGGAAGCCTGCCGGAGCCGGCCCTCACGGTGCTGTTTCCAATCGCTCTAGTGTTTGCTTGGGAAGCCTATGACAAAGGCTCGGAAGTGCATCTGCAGGCGGATCCAACAAAGCTGGAGCTGCTCTACAAGTCCTTCAAAGTCAAAAAGGAAGACTTCAAAGAGCAGCAGAAGGAAAGCATCCTGGAAAAGGTCAGCTGGTCGAAAAGCCGAGGGGCGATGTGCCGCAAGGCGAGGTCACTGGCTCCATAGACATTGGTTCACATTGGAAATACACTGTAAAGAGGAATCCCTTTTAATCCGTAGGAATAGTTCTTTCCTTCCACTGACTTAATTGCTGTGCATGCTTTGTATATATTTTAATGAACTTTTGAAGCAAAAATGCAATTTTAAAACTTAGTATCTTAAAGTAAAAATGCATTACTTCTTAAATTCTGTGTAGCCTGGGTCCGTTGTCGGAGCGGACTGGATGCTGTAATACAGCCTGCCTGTCACGCTTAGCAGTGAGCAGGCATGTTGTCCCTAGGAGCCTCTGCAGGACAGCCCTCTCCAACTTGGGCTCTTATCCCATAGTAAACTTCACTCATTTTTGTTTTTTGGGTTTTTCTTTTTATGGCATTCTCTGGATTCCAGAGAATAAATGAGAAGTGTGCCACACCACCCAAGTGACTTTGTTTGCATCACGTTTTCCAACTTGCGCAGTCTAATTGAAAATTAACCCATTGAGATTTGAATGTACATCTTGCTTGTAAACTGGACCTAATGGTGTCCAATCTCCTTTAGTATGGCGGTCAAGAACACTTGGATGCTCCCCCAGCTGAACTGCTGTTGGCTCAGACTGAAGACTACGTGGAGTACTCGAGACACGGCACGGTCATCAAAGGCCAGGAGCGGGCGGTGGCGTGCTCCAAGTACGAGGAGGATGTGAAGATCCATAATCACACAGTATGTGTTGAGCTAGAATCATTTGTGTCGTTGTTATGACTGTGACTCGAACTGAGGGCAGTGTGGGATACGGTGTTGCAGGCGGTGCCTTAACCCCCTGTGCCGTACTGACAGTCCTCAGTTTAACGCCAACTTCTCACACTTCAGGTTGGTCACCCTCTCCCTGATTGGTCAACTCTGGTGTCTGTATAATTTTTCTCTCAAACTGTCTTTAAAAGGCATCATATTGTCAAAAGTATGTGAACATCCTTGCTTTAAGGTTTGCTAAGTAAGTCCTTTCTCTGCCCGCAGCATATCTGGGGATCTTACTGGAAGGATGGCCGATGGGGATACAGATGCTGTCACTCTTTCTTAAAGTATTCCTATTGCACTGGAGAAGCTGGGAAGGAGACTGTTGTAAGTAACCGCTCGGCTCGTCCTGGAAGGGATAAAACCACTAAAGCTCTTAAGTCACACTCTGAGTAAAACTCATCTCAGGTTTCAGATTGTAGTTTTTCTTACATGCTTAATTTGATGACTGTGATATTTAATTCAGTTTCAATATTTTCTCACAGAATTCAGAGGAAAATGTGATAAATGATACAGTAGGAGAAGAGTCTGTGAAAAAACCTCAAACCCTCATGGAGGTGAGTCTGTAATCCTTGTCTTTACTGTTTTAGTCTCGGAGGGAGAGGTTTGAAATGCACCCTGAAGTTTTGTGGTCAGAATAATGACACCGTATTTCGATCCCTTTCTCAGATACATCAGGAAAAAATGAAAGAAGAGAAAAAGAAGAAAAAAAAGAAAAAGAAGAAGCATCATAAGAGCAGTTCTGATAGTGAAGATGAAGAAAAGAAACAGGAGAAACTGAAAAAGGTACTGTGTGCAGTCTGAATAGCAAAAGCAGCGGACAGGATTTCCTTATTTTAGGGACCCTGGGGAATGATGTGGTGGCAACTGAGAGCTCATTAGAAATGTGAGGACGTGAGCCTTGAGTCCAGATTGTTTTCCCGGGTCACGTTAGTGGAGATTTTGTGGGTGTAATTGCCACCTCTTGGGCCGCTTGATAAATGTCACTAGCAGGGAGAGGAACTATGCTGTGAGAAGGCAGAGGCTTAGCATGACGCCTGTGTCAGCCAGCTCCGTGGTTCCCAGTTCCAAAGTCAGCAGTGATGGCCTTCTATCAGCAGCTTGAGCCTCACTCAGTTTTCATTTCCAAGTAAAATTTTTGTAACACTCAATATAGGATGTTTTTGCCCTAGAAGATAGACGAGACAGCGCTGTGTAGTTGTAGGTTGGCAGAAGAACTGCCTCCCGAGGTCTTCCAGGCAGTCTTAAGTTTTGACAAGCACTTCACATTCCACAGGGTCGGCAGGTGCTCCTCTGCTTTTGAACGAAACAGACGTGACGCGGGGCCGTGATGCTCCTGTTTTTCCTCTCCCAACAGGCACTCAACGCAGAGGAGGCCCGCCTTCTGCAGGTCAAGGAGATCCTGCAGATGGATGAGAGGAAGCGGCCGTACAACAGTGTGTACGAGAGCCGAGAGCCCACGGAAGAGGAGATGGAGGCCTACCGGATGAAGCGGCAGAGGCCCGACGACCCCATGGCCTCTTTCCTGGGGCAGCAGTGCTAGGCACGGAAGGTCGGCACCTGGAAGACGCAAACAGGTTCTTGTCCACTCTTGCTTGGTGACTGCATAGGAGACCCTCATCTACACCTCCTGCTGCCTGGCTTTAATAAAGCTTTGAGAAATCTCACATTCCTTCCTTTCCACAGTGAAGAAGATAAAGAAGAAAGGAAAGAAAAGGGATACACTAAATATGGTTTAAATTTTATTTCTCTAATTTTATACCAGTGATACGAAGAGACCTTGATTCATTACCTATCAAGAGTGTCTTCTAGAGGACAGTCCAAAATGTTATTTCCTCAATTTCTGTCATCTTTTTATCAGATGCAGTGGTACACATTTTGAAAGCAGTTTGGTTTCTCTAAACCAGAGCTGTATTTTGTTTTTTTATAACTGTTAGTACCTGTAATTGTAGTAATTATGTAGTCATTTGTTCATGCCTTCTGAGGTTTTCCTCATCTGAAACTAAAAATGTTATTCAATTTTAGTGGTCTTTCACTGCTGAAAGAAAATCTGTAGAAAATGTAAAAAACCCTTATCTCCCAAGTCAGCCCGTGAAGTCATAAATTATTTTTTGGTTTAGTTATTTCATTTAGATTTTTAATGTATTTTTTCCTTACACCCAGAACTCAGTGAGCCATGGTTTTAATGGAAAAACAGTGATTTTTCTCACCTAGGGTCAGTATTGACCAATCAGTATTAGGGCTTTAAGACCTGAGCTTTTAGATTTAGAAATCCTGTCCTCGTACAGGATATGTTTTGGGATACTACTTCCTGTTTCGTGATTACCTTTATGTGACATTCATGAATGCTTTTGTAGACGGATGTACACTAATAATCTTCATAGCCAGGAGCTGTCACTTTGCGAACTGTATAGAGAGCAAAGCCTGGAGTTGGAGGTTTCTCCAGAGATTCACAAGGACTGCTTATAGGGTTGCTAATAATTGAGATTTTCATGATCTTCAAGGAAGTTCTAAGATCATCACAAAGATAATAGTGACAGAGTGTGGTCAGTGAACACAACCTATTAAAAAGCCCTTCTATGAGTACATCGACTTTAATCTTTGTTTTTAAGATTTATTTTATTTTTGTATTTGAAAGAGTTGCAGCAAAAGGAGGAGAAAAAGAGAGAATTTTGTCCTGTCTGCTGGTTCACCTCCTAAATGACTGCTACAGCTGGAGCTGGGCCAGTCTGCAGCCAGGAGCCTGGGACTTCTTCCAGCTCTCCCATGTGGGTGCAGATGCCAACCATGTGGCTCTTCCTCTGCTGCTTTCCCAGGCTATTTGCAGGGAGCCACATTGGGAGTAGAGCAGCCAGGACTCGAACTGGTGCCCATATAGAATGCTGGTGCCACAGGCAAGCCTTAGCTTGCTGTACCACAGTGCCAGCCCTGACTTCAATCATTTTTAAGCTACTTATGAGGATACTTTGTTTTCGGCGTCTCAGAAATAGTGGTGGTAGGAGTGTAGCGGAATCCAGTCATCAAGCACTATGCACAAGCAGTGTCTTGATACAACTGATGTGAAACTAAAGCAGCATTGCAAATAGATCGAATTCTTATCTAATTTAAGAATATCAAAACGTTTTCTCATATTCCTTCTTTAGCATAGGATGCTTCAACATAGAATCTGACATTAGTATCCGTTTTATATTTTGATCTTTTGTTAGTGAAGATATAATTAATACATAATTACACGTGGTTTGTAGCAGTATTTAAACTGTTTGATGTAGTTGCCTTACGTGACTCCCCAGTGGGGCCTGTTACCTTCTGCGAGTTTTTATTAGAAAATTACACTCTGAACTCAGATGAGATGTCACCTGGACTTGCTGGGCGGCCATCCCTCCCTCTGCGGAAGAATTCACTCGGATTTTAGGTTGAACTCTGTAATATCCAAAACCACTTTTGCATTGTTTCATTTTGAATAAAAGGAATGCCTAGAATGTTACTCCGGTGGGGGTGAGCTTTGATTCTCTCATACCAAACGGCTGCCTTTCAGTGTTGGAATTTTCATATTACTTCATTCCTCGGAAGAACTTCATGGAGTGAGCAAAGGATGATGTCCGTATTTTACTTTTCATACACACACAAGCCTAGCGACTCCAAGGAACCTGCCCTGTTTTTAGGTTAAAGCTATCGGAACCAAAACAGGAAGCCAGGTGTCTGATTGTAAATCCTAGCCTTAACAATGCATCTTTCATACATTTTTTGCCATCTCTGCCCTCACACGCATGCACCAGCTTTGTGGAATTCTTGTAAACTGACTGAAGCAGGTGTTTGGCCCAGCTGCTGAGGTGTTGGGATGCCCACATCCAGTCCTGGACTGCCCAGCCGCGTGTCCTGGCTCACTGCTGACCCCAGGTGCCTGCTCATGCCCGTTCCGGGAAGCTCTGACTTGGTCCACTCAAGTGAGGATCCAGGTTCAGTTTCAGGCTTGAGGCCCTGGCTGCTTGGGACATTGGGGGTGTCAATTAGCAGGTGGAAGGTCTGTCTGGCTTAGAGCTCAGCCTTTCAAATAAAATGAAAGTAAACACTGAGAAACACTACCCCGGCTTTGCCTAGCCCACAGCCAGCTGTTCCTAGCACAGGCCCAGCAGATGGGTGAACTCTCACCAATATTACTTATTTTATAGCTATACAAAGGCAAATATTAATTTTTAAATAATTCTGGAAAGACCCCAAAACTGAAAGGGTTATATTAAGGTTGATTTCTTTAAGCAATGTTTTCCATTTTCTGGGTTTTTTTTTTTTTCTATAAAACCTCTCTAGTGTGGGCTTATTTTAAATCATACTGCTAAAAGGAATCTTTAAATTTAAAATCTCGCCCCCGGTGCTATAGCCTAGTGGCTAAAGTCCTCACCTTGCATATGCCAGGATCCCATATTGGTGCTGGTTCTAATCCCAGTGGCCCCACTCTCCATCCAGCTCGCTGCCTGTGGCCTGGGAAAGCAGTCGAGGACAGCCCAAAGCCTTGGGACCGTGCATCTGTGTGGGAGAGCTGGAAGAGGCTCCTGGCTCCTGGCTTTGGATTGGCTCAGCCTGGCCATTGTGGTCACTTGGGGAGTAAGCCAGTGAATGAAAGATCTTCCTCTCAGTCTCTTTTCTCTCCAAATTTGCCTTTCCAAAAAACCTCTTTAATAATAAAAAATTAAAGCATTAAGATAGTGTGTGCCTTAGATAACTCATCTGTATGCACTACATTGTAGGAACGGTCTAAGTGAGGAACAGGGCAGGCTGAAGACCTCTTCTGTATGGGAGTGGAATCCTGCCCCATGGGCCCAGCACCATAGCCTAGCAGCTAAAGTCCTTGAACGTGCCAGGATCCCATATGGTCACTGGTTCTAATCTCAATAGCTCTGCTTCCCATCCAGCTCCCTGCTTGTGGCCTGGGAAAGCAGTAGAGAATGGCCCAAAGCCTTGGGACCCTGCACCCACATGGGAGACCCGGAAGAGGCTCCTGGCTTCAGATCAGCTCACCTCTGGCTATTGCAGTCACTTGGGGAATGAATCATTTGACAGATCTTTCTCTGGCTCTTCTTCTCTGTGTATATGACTTTCCAATAATAATAAAATAAATCTAAAAAAATAATAAAAATTACAGAAAAAAATGCTGCCCCACATGTCAAAATGTTTGATTCCTGAGTATAAGGAGCTTTGTCTTTCCTCTCTGACTCCCCATAGCATTATTGGGGGTTTATCTCCAACCACCACAGCGTACTCTTGTTTCCAGTTATCTGAACGTTAAAAAGTAACTGCGGATTTCACAGTTCTGTCCACTCCTTGGGTTGTACAGTTCATCCTTTCTGATAATAAACAAACATAAAATTCCAGCTCCATGTATGTAATAAAATTGAGACTTCGAGTGCGCATATTCCCTGCTCTCACCAGCAGGGGGCGCCCGGCTCCCCAGCCGGCTGTTACTGCGCCTGCGTACGGGGAGCTGGCTAGGTGCGAACGGGAAGCTACCTGGCAGAACCCGGATGGAATCCCGAGCGAGCGGGGATGAGGGGGTGGCTGGGGATGGTTGTGTCTCTCCGCGCTCCTCAAATTCAGCTCGGGGCTCCGACCAGTTCCGAGGCCCACGGGCTGGGAGCCCGGTTGAGCGGAGGGCGGGCCTGGAGCTTGGAGAAGCCCCGCCGCCTCCGGGCGCGCCTCAGGCTGGGGAAGCAGCCGTCGGGGCTGAGTTCTCCTGAGGGCTCGCGGCCGCCTCAGAAACTCTGTTCTTAGCAGCCTCACGTCCCAGCAGCTAAGGCTGCGTGTTCATTGCAAGCATTCACATAACTAAACCTTCCTCCCACCGGCTAAGGTAGGTACCGGCTCCAACCCACTTGACAGACGGCAGGTTGCCAGGAGCAGGTGCAAGTCAGCCTAGACCTTTCTGCCGGCTGTTGACTTCATCCGATGTTGAAGTCCCCTGTGCCCGTGTGCGGGGACCGGGCCGGGCAGCGTCTTAGATGTGTGTGGCTTGGAGTTGCAGCTTGACAGGTGCACGTTGATCGTTCCTCTGCAGAAATGCATAGATTTTCGTTTTCCTAAAGTGTGTCAGGCACTTCGGCTTGTCACTTTGCGTGCCCTTTCGTGTCTGCTCTTCATAAACCTGCAAACACATTTCACTCTGCTAGATTTTTAGCGTTTGTATCCGGAACCGTTCTGGAGGTAAATTTATAGCTTGTGATAATGCTTTTTGTCATAAAGTTTATGAAGAAAAACATCTTTCAGCGTACATGAGAATAGCTTAGTAGTATCTACCCACCTCCAACTTCCGGAGTCATCCAGGTTGTCTAGTATTACTTCTTTGCTCCACGTGTGTGTGTGTGTGTGTGTGTGTGCACGCACACGTAAGAACTATAACATTTCAGTGGAAATCACAGACACCATGTCATTTGTTAATAACTAACAAAGCTGGACTTTATCTGGTCCAGCACAGTCTAGCAGTTAAAGTCCTTGCCTTGAATGCGCCAGGATCCCATATGGATGCTGGTTCTAATCCTGACAACCCCGCTTCCCATTCAGCTCCCTGCTTGTGTCCTGGGAAAGCAGTGGAGGATGGCCCAAAGCCTTGGGACCCTGCACCCGCGTGGGAGACCCAGAAGAGCTCCTGGCTCCTGGCTTTGGATCGGCTCAGCTCCAGCTGTTGTGGCCGCTTGGTGAGTCAATCAGCGGATGGACAATTTTCGTTCCTCTCTGTATGTCTAACTTTCTAATAAAAAATAAATCTAAAAAACTAAAAAAACCCAGGACTTTATTACAGAACTATTAGCGCACCTGTGTGACAGTAATAGCTCATTATATTGATGCTTTTTAATGTTTGCTTTTTTAGGATATTGTAATTCCTAGATACCACGGAAGAACAAGGGAACGCGGGATTTTCTGTAACACAGGAAAGCTTATTCAGTAGTGGTAAGTTCAATTTTGAGGATTTTGAACATTCTTGAACAATTGCTCTTTCTTTTTGATGGGAATGGAGATCAATATTATAAATGTATTTTCCTAAAACTTCTTTTATTCAAAACAGATTGATCATAAATCAAAATGTACTTCATTATCAAAGGTGGATTGGGCTAGACTCTTTTTTTTTTTTTTACGATTTAT